TTCAGCGGGGCAATCCGCGTATTTGCAAATCCGTGAATGCTAAACCCGCGTATGTGAAGGGCCGACTGTACAGCTAGACCCGATTACGACTACGTGGACTTACGACGTCGGGACTTACGACCGCCGCCAGACTTTTATTAATTTTTTTTTAAATAACACGCATTTTCTATACCGAAACGTTTCCAGTTAATGTAGTCTCCATGTATAATTAGAAAATTATGGGGGCCCCATGTGCATTCAGCTGACTACATTAAAGGTTAAGTGGTCAGTCACACTGTATCCATTCCTTATTATTTATTACTTTCACTGTACTGTATCCATTCATCATTATTCATTACTTTTACTGTACTGTATTTCATTGTAGATTTTTTATTAAAAGAAAATTTTTTTTTTTTATCTATGTCGGACTTACGACCATGTCGGACTTACGACCTGGATTTGGGTCCCTAACCCCGTCGTAAGTCGGGGTCTAGCTGTATATATTTTTCTAATTTCGTCGTTAATATGAAGAAAATAATGGCGAAAATTGAATTGGGTCCTAAATTAACCAGGGTCTTGGATATGGATCTTCGTTAGTTGAACTGTCGTTATTAGAGGCTTTACTGTATTTATTTAACCAAACTTTTTGATAAATTATTCAAGATGATTTATTAAAATAAAGTGCTTCTAATGTAATTAGAATCAATTTTATAGATTCTGGTATCAACAATTTTTAATTTTTTTATACAGGTTGTACCTCTCTAGTCCGGCATTCTGTGGTCCGGAAACTCCTGTGGTCCGGAACGATTCTAGTTTGTCCAATAGGTAGATAGGCAGTTTTTTTTTTTTTTTTACTTATCTGAATTATTATTATTATTACAGGAGTATTAAATTTTTGCCCCTCAGGCCCCAATGTGGGTCAGTGACCTATGCCCGGGTGGGCTAATCCCCTTAAAAAAAAGCCGCGGGAAATTAAGGTTTGTTTACATCCGGCAGTTCGGCTGCTCTCTCTCTCTCTCTGCTTGTCTATACAGAGTACAACATTTAACCCTTCAATATATATGAGCAGTAAATAAGTGTTGCTTTCATATTCTTATGTAGAGTAATGACGATATATTTTCACATGTGCGCACTTACATACGAGCAGTCTCACTTTTTTTTTTACCATTAATGGTTAGCTACTTATATTGTTCCATTTATTAACATTAAATAACATTACAGGTACTTCAAGCAACCATATTCATTTTTTACATTAATTTTACTACAGCTAAACTCAGGGTCTTATTTTCTTCAGTTTTATATGTAGAACCAATCAGTCACTGGTTTCTAAGCTTTAACATAAACAATGCCGGCAGCCGTCTCGTCTCCTCTAATATTCCACGTATTATTAATAAATTGTATTGTTAATTTTGCACACACGTACATTAATTCAATAAAAACAAATTCAGAAACATTAATTAAAATATATATGAACAGTAAATAAGTGTTGCTTTCATATTCTTATGTAAAGTAATGACGATATGTTTTCACGTGTGCGCATGCGCACTTACATATGCGATCTCTCTTTTTCTTTACCATTATCGTTAGCTACTTCTATTGTTCCATTTATTAACATTAAATAACATTACTTAAAACAACCATATTAATTTTACTACAGCTACAACCAAGGTCTTATTTTCTTCAGTTTTATATGTAGAACCAGTCAGTCACTGGTTTTGTAATCAACGAAAACAATGCTGTGTCATTTCCTCGTGTGTTTTAATATTCTACATATTATTAATGAATTGTATTGCTCATTTTGCACATATAAACATTAATTCAATAAAAAAGACATTCAGTAATAAACAATAATGAATCTTTTGTACATAAGAGAAATGACCCTGTTTACACGATTATGCACGTCGTCTGCACGTTGGCGGGCCGTTCAAACCCGTCGAAATTCAAGTTTCCGCCGTCAAAATTTTTATTTATTTATTTTTTTGTGTGTTCCAATAAAATACGTTAAGAATTAAAAACTCGCGAAATTTGAGAAGCTACTATACGACATTTAACCCTTCAATATGTCTTCAAAGAGACCATGATGCAGAGAAAGTGGTGCTAGTGCTTCCAGGCATAAGCACAAGTCACTATCTAACCAGGAAAAGGGTGAATTTCCATGGTCCGGCAATTTCCATGGTCCGGCACCGGTCAGGTCCCAAGGTTGCCGGACTAGAGAGGTACAACCTGTACAAAAGAATTGAGTCCCCATCAATTTATTGGGTCAAAATATGTTGTTTAAGGATTTTGTATTGGAAAAATCTGGTAGAGAATTTATTCAGGATCACTATGGTATCACATTCATCTCTCTATCATGATTAGAACAGATGGTAGAGTATAGGAGGTAGTAGTGAGGTAGGAAGGGAAACTAGGGGAGAAAGTGACCATGGACCCTTCTCATCCCCCAAAAAGGTTCGCTTCCCACTTCCAACACTGCCTCTTTCACTCATTCTACTAAAACTCATTCATGATACAATATTGTTTATTTGTAATTAATTTATTAGTAAAGACACGTTACTGTACGAAAGTGTGCCTTTTATTATCTGTACCCTTCATATACATTACAATACTGTATAGAATGTATTTCATGGGTAAAAAATGCCATCATCAAAAATGCATCTCCATATATGCAATGGAACCAAATTCATTTCTCTAACTTAAAAAGAGCAAATGTTGTGAATAAAAGTTTATTAACTTTTTTGCTAGACATAAATATATTTGCTACTTAGCTTTCATCTTTATTCAAGACATTTTCAGGTTATGAGACCCACTAATCCCCCCTGACACTGGGTGACCTGACATTGCATGAGACCACCCCACCTCCATTTGACTGTTCATGTCAGATCAGTAACATGAGACCCGTCACAACATTTCTTACACATTTTCATAAAAGAATTGAGTTCCCATAACTGTGTTTTTGTAACTAAAGTGAACAGTGTAACTTTGAAAATGTCTGGCAACCATTTTGCTCACTATCTTTAAGGCCACGATGAAGGTTATACCTTTAATCTCCACTCTTCAGACTCCCCAAAGTCTGTGTGTGACTCAGGTTGATGTCTCCGCTCTACCTTAAGAGTCCCCTTAGCCTTGAAGGGGATATGTGATGACCAGACTTCTTAATGATGTGGTGAGTGCTGTTTAATTGTGTTGTAGTGTTAGTACAGTAGTATTTTAGGATTCTTTTTTTTGTGATGCATATGGGTGTCCAACTGGCCAGGAACCTATCCCATTGAACCCCATGTTATAATGAACCTGATTTACAATATTTTGACCTGCGATGGGGTTTTCAGGAACCTAACCCCATTGCAAAAAATAGTTTTGCTGTATGTTAATGTACAGTAGTACCTCGATTTACGTGGTCAATTGAACCCATGGGGTACCGCGGAAAGTGAAAACCTCGTAAAGTGAACAACAGAACATAAGGGATTAATTCCAATAGAGACTGGCCCGACCCCCAAACTCCACTTTTTCAGACACAATACCTACGTTGTAGTAAAAATTACATCTTAATTTTATGATGGTATGCACACACAATTAATAATTAAGAGAAATATCAATAATATTAGTTTTTTTAACACTTACATTAGTAGAAAAGATGGCTAGGCACACGGGGATGGGGGGTTGGTTCAAGGCAGAGGGCAGATTATTGGCCCTCACCTGTATCACTTGTATCAATTGTATCACTATCCACCACATAGGCTTGCAGGGACTCTTAGTCAAACCCCTCAAAGTCCATATAAGTCCATATCCTCACTATCACTATCACTATCACTGACTTAGGCCGGCTGTGGTAGGTGGCAGGTGAAGAACTCGGTAATGTTTTGATGACTGGGCGACCTTGTGCGCATCCTGCCCGCGCCACTTCCCGCGTATATGAGTAGATGCACCGCGGAAAGTGAAAGTTCGGTTCTGGCGAGGCACCGCGTAAATGAGAAATCGCGGAAAGTGAAACCTCGTAAAGCGGGGTAATACTGTAGTCACTTTTAATGTCTTAACACTGCCTTAATACTGTATTCTTGGCTTGTACAATGGCAGAAGACTATGCATTAAGCATGTTATGATGCTGGGATAAGCTGAGAGATGCATCCCATACAGTCACAGGGCAGCATTAGTCAATAGCAGCGAGCTAGCCTAGGCACAAGTTACCCAAGCGGTTTTTCCACCCACGCACCCAGCACGTGAGGATGCAGCTGAGCATAATGAAATCATTCGCCACTCCCAGACCTTATTTCCCCGGGCCTGGAGCAGAAAGGTGTGGAGAGATTTTCTAAGAATTGTTCTGGAAATTGTGCATTATTTCATCACTGGGGAAAAAATGGATAAATTTTTCCTCAGAATTGTTTCCAGAAATTCACTCACAGACCCAGAACTTCAATTCCGGCTATTGTAAAGTTCCGGGGACTGGGGAGATTGTGTTATTTTGGTAGATTAAAACCCTTGAAGATAAGAAGAAAAATTCTGATGAGAAGCAAAGGTGTTTCTGGGCCCTCTTCATAGATTCTGTAAACTGTTATGAAAATCAGCAAGATTTTGGTTAAAGTGTAAAAAGACTCCATTAATCTATTGAAATGTACCATCCATCTCTATGGGTAATTTCAGTGATTAAACCTTTTTCTATAAACAATTTCAAAGGTCAGACCATCTCAATAATCAGGCTATCTTCACAGGCAGGTTCAACTCTCAGACCATCTCTATACAGTACTCAGATTCAATGCTCAGACCATCTCTATACTGTACTCAGGTTCAATGATCAGACCATCTATATATGGTACTTAGGTTCGATAATCAGATCATCTCTATACTGTACTCAGGTGCAACAATCAAACCATCAATATACTCAGGTTCAATAATCAGACAATGATGCAATCAATACCTTTGATTTAAATTATCCTCAATGATCCACCCCTTTTAAAAATGAACTTTTAACAATCAATGCATTAGTAAGCAATCAATAGAGTCCATGCATAACTTCAACCAGTGAGGCAAAGTCTGTAATGGCGAGTGAGTTTCTTTTCACTGTTTCATCCATTAAGGTCAAACTCCTGACTGATGGTGCTACTACTTACTGTCATCCACTCTGTCTGTCTTGTTACAGCCTGGTATATTTTATTTTACCAAGTCAAATGAGAGGTCTTTTCTCAGCCTAAAATTGTAATAACTGATCATCTAGTCGGATTTAATGTATCAGAATGTCAGATCCAGAAACCAAAAACAGCCTCTGATAAGAATAAATTTCTCCAAGTTGAACTGTATAACCTTCCTTATAACTTAACTTCTTGAAAATGATGCAAACTTATTGGATCAATCTCCAATAGACACAGATGAGACTTAATTGTACATACTATTAATTAAACAGATTTCCTTCCTTTTGAGGGTTCCAAGTCTCAAAGGGTTTCAATATGACCTCTGACAATGTGTTAAGTTATATATTGTGAGATAATTCTGAATTTATGGACTATAGTGACTGGAGAGTGTACTACTGTATACTGTTCTAAGCAAAACCACTTCATTCTTAACCAGTAGTAGCATTTACCAACAGTACAAGAGGTAGATTTTAATATTTTTTTTTTTACATGTAGAGAACACATGATCTTTCACCTGCACTAACATTTCTCCAATTATGATCCTTCTGAATGGGTTCATCCCGAATCTGAGGTGCTTAGGCTGATGGACGACATGTCATGGCAGAGTTTGGAGTCAGACATGTCTTCTGCGAGGGCCTCAAGGATGTCCAGCAACAGGTCACGGCTCAAACAACGCATCTTGGGTAATTGAGCCACCTATGGAAATAATCACAGACATCAATGCACATCCTACTAAGAAATATCTAGGTACAATGGAGTTGGATAATCTGTAAAATACTAATTCATATTCTTAAATTTATGGGTACCTCTATTATTACCACTTTTTTTAAAGTCGACAAAAAAAAATTCATAAATTTTGGCTGAATGGTGGCTGCCACAGTTATTTACAAAGGAAACCATAAAAGTTGTGACAATACAATTTCAATCAACAAAATATAATACAGTATTAAACTAAAAAAAAATTAAAATTAAGGGAGGGAGTGAATTCTGTGAGGGAAAGAAGAGAGGTAGGGTGGTTGGGTTGGCTGGGCTTTGAGGAAAGTACCCACCTCCACTCCCAGAGTGCTACATCACCCTGCAACCCCTTTAAAATGACACTATGCAATTTCACCATAATTCCCATAATATTTAGGTTCATTTGGTGCCGGATTAACAAAACATTATCGTAGAATAATAAAGTTTCCACCCCAAAAATCCCACACTCAACCCCAAACAAGTTATTGCATAATATTAAATTCACAGCTTTGTTTACATAATGCGAACAGCTGACCAGCCAGCCAGCCTGCGTCCATGCCTGTCGCAATGTTGATGTATTGGTGTCACCCAGAGGAAGACTATGAGAAGGGAAGGAACTGTTTGTGTAATATAGAACTACTTTTTGAATACTATCTATGAGTTACTTTATTTTTTATGTATTATGTACGATATTTAGTGTTTACTAAAGCAATTTTGGAACAGTACAGTATATGTATATTTTTTGAGCTCCAGAACCTAACTACTATTTCCAACTAACCTGGCCCATAAGCCACGCCCTTCGTCTATAACTACAAATAGCTGATTGGTTCATAGAAAATGTGTATATAGCTGTCCATTTATTCAAACTAAGTGTGTTCACAATTGGTAAGCAGACCTGTTATTAACGCAGTCATTTACTGAATATTCTTTGTAAAAAAATAAATTTTAAATTAATTATTTATAGGAGATAAGTATTATGATCAGTAAATATACAGATATGCATTACTGACCACCTCCGAACACAAGGACGGCTAAAAATAGCCACAGGCGGTCACAGTCAAGGTCACTTTCCCTTTCTTGTCACTGGCAAATGGGGGGGTGGGTGGGTGATGATAGCAGCTGTGTTTATTACCGGGGTATATTGTTCTTTTACGGTATGTTAGACTGGTTTATAATACATTTTTATTATTTTAATATACCGGTAATCTTCATTTTAATCCAGCTTCCCAAACGTAAGTTTCAGTATAAAATAATTAATGGTAGGACTTTGTGAGTGTTTTACCATGTTTCCATCACCACTCTTGACACGCTAAACCGCAATATTTAAGAGGTAAGAATTTTATCTCTGGTGCTTAAGACGACCCCCTAACTTTGGGCTGATTTTTTTTTTGTTCAAATTCCATCTTGTAGGCCGAGATATACGGTACTCAACTTAAGTAGGTACCGTTTCTTACCTTTGGGAAGTGGTGCACAATGAGGTTGAGGGCATATTTCTTCATATCCGTGGCTTGTATGCGATCAGCAGCTTCAAGAATTTGTATCACGTTTTCAAAAGTCACATTCATCTCCAAGTTTTGTTTGCAGAATGCCTGAAAGGAAAACATATCTATTGAATATATATATATTTCAGGATTTGGTTTTAATTTTGTTCTTTTACAGGGGAGTCTGGGATGGATCCAAGATTAATTAATGAAGGTTACAAAACTTCTATTAACAGAAACTAATGAATATCCACATTAGGCACTTCTAAGGAATAATTATATTATCATTCTGGAGTCATGAATGGGAGATAGTTTTTTGGATGAGTTTGTGCAGAAGAGGTCAAAGACATCCACACAATCCAGAAATCCTGTTAAGTTTATGAAAATGCAATGAGAATGACTGAAATGTAATATTTTGTACCTATAACATTAAACTCAGTAGGCAAGGTATGTAACACTACAAATGTACTGAAGAAGATATATTATAAATGAACCTATAAAACATTATGTTATAAACTTGGTCTCATTTCATAACTAAGACTGGATTGGGCAATTATTGTATAGCCAATCAGACCAAGGGTTGAAAACTTGTTTCCAAGTACTGTACAGTGCAGTACTGTACCTTGACAAGTGACTGGCAATAATTAAACAATAAGTTATGCCTTTTATCTCGGTATCAAAAGAGATATGCTGAATATAGAAACTAAAGAGAATGAGTCGTGCCATCACAACAAAAGCAGGGCTTTTCCTGGGTTTATTAACCCGTGGACTTGATGCCTATACAAGTCACCTAAGCCATGCATGAAATTAAAAATGCTACTGCATGATAGTATAAACTGAACACCTCCAAAGAAATTATTACACTACCTGGAGTCTATTATTGGTAAACCCATAAAAGTATGGGGCAGAAAAAAGGTAGAGAGAATCCTCGGGTGGCATGTCTACATCACCATAATATATGTATCGTAGCAACGAATCAAACGACTGCTGTGATGGGATCATCTCTCCAATGGCAATCTGAAAAATAAGGAAATTATCAATGCATGTGAATTACTATGAGATGGGACAGTTGGCTGAAGATGTGGGGATAAAAGTGTAGTAGTGGAAGCTGTGGCAACAATGACAACAACAAACACATACTGTATCACTACAGTATCTGCAAATACTGTACTGTAATTCCAAAGCTGAAATTACTTCTTTGTGTAGTAGCATAAATGATGTTATTTGTAGCATTAAAATATAATTTTCATGGGCACAAGGTGATAAAAATCTGCTCCTAAGAATTGTAGTATACTCATAAATTCATCTGAATTTGGATTTACGAATGTACTTAACACATTTACTTTGGTGCACCAGAAGCATTGACTCTTAGCTAACTTACTTTTTCTGGTGTGCTGTACAGTCCCCAAAAAAGAATTGTTAGCCATGGGGTCGATGTGATTCAAGACTTCCAGGGCAATGTTACTTGACCTGTTTCTGAATGGTTGGTACAGTAAAAGTCCAAAAATCCGGACCACCTGAGAATCTGAACTTTTAGGAAATTCATTTTTTTTTTTATTATTATTATTATTATTTTTTTTTAGCGGGCTTTTGTGTGTATGTGCGCATGAGTGAGTGCCACAGTTGCACAGCGACAACAAGTGACCACGCGGTCGCCACTTTAAAAAGAGCAATCAAACTGTGACAATGTATGTAATTTTGAGTCCTACTTTTTTCATTTACAGAGTACTGTACTGTACAAGCCCATAATAATGGCTCCTAAAGTAGATAAACTTCGTTGTGTGAAGAGAAAGAAGAACATGTTGAAATTGAGTGACAAACTTGAAATAATTAAGAAACTAAAACATGGTGTAAGCAATACTGTTCTAATGGAAACATACGACATTGGAAAGAAGCAAAGAATAAAATTCTAGAATTCACAGCTTTTTCTTTAAAACTGCTCGTTTTGATAAATGAAGCATGCTATATTTGCTAATGAATAAACTATAAAAATGTACCTGCTCATCTCTTCTTTATTCCTCCTTAAATTTGAATTTTAAAAGTACTGCCTGAAAATCCGGAAAATCCAAAAATCCGGACCAACCCAATCCCCAAGCAGTCCGGATTTTTGGACTTCTACTGTAATTCTACATCTGTGACCTTTGAGCATGATTGTGTATACTGTATACATTTTCAAACGATGTGAATCCTCCTAGGCTTTAGATCAAATATTACATGACTTGGAGTGGATGTCGTAAATGGACATCAATGCAATGCCAGTCATTAGCGGATCTTTCATCAAATGGAGCGAGAAATTATCGGGGAGACATAGTTACACGTGAGAGGTGCTATCATTGCCCTTCACAATGAGGGTACAGTAGAACGTCGATATAACATGAGATACATTACAAGAGAGGTCGCTTTAAACCGAATTCGCACTAAATTGAAGTTTTGTTTAATGGAATAATTTAGTTTGGTACTTGAGAGAAACAAAATACTAAAAAGACTGAGAGTCTACCCAGATGCACCTCAGCCCATCTCCTAGAATAAGCAAAACATTGTTTTTTGTAGTATTTTGTTAAAACAAATACTCATAAATCAATAAAGATAAAATTATGGGAAATGAAATGGTCTGTTTACTAGCGATCAGCTGATGTGAAGATTGGGGGGGGGAGGTGAGGTGATATGTTTGACAGTAGATGCCAAGGTCTAGTGCTTATTTATTTATCTATCCTTAAGAGTGACTTTAGGTTTTTTCTCTTATAAAATTTACTGAACTATTCTAATTAATTTTATTACAAAGGGCTAAGAATTTTTATCTCTTGTGCAAAATATATGATATTTATATTCAAATTATTCTCTGTCTTGCAAGGATTCTAGCAATGCAAATTATATTCTCCTAGCTTTAGTCTGTAATATTATATAAGATAAAAACTGTAAGCCTATAACCACCAAACCCTGGCTGGGAAGATGGAGGGAGAGGGAGGGAGGGAGGAAGGGGAGGTGACAGTGACATGTTTGACATTTGGCGCCGAAGGTCTAGTGAAGTATTTATTTGTTTATTTATGTCCTTTAGCTCGAGTTTATGTTTTTTGCTCATAAAATTTCACAGAAGTGACCAGGGAGAATATAATTTACATTGCTGGAATTCTTATACAATAGTGATTAATTTGAATATAATCATGCTATAATTTGCACTAGACAAAAATTTTTGTAATCATTTAGTACATTATTTTGAGTACATGTACAGTACAGCTTTGCCTTAGGACAGTGTAGCATGCCCAGAGAAACATTAGGCCCGAATTTTAAAATATGATGCACCAGAATGACTCGTGCACATTAGGAAAGATTCGCTTTAAATGAAACATTGTCTTTAATTGTGGGTGTCGCTTTAAATCAATAATCTTAAATTGAATAGCTTTAAATCGATGTTCTACTGTATAGGTAATGCTGAGATAGCACAGTGAACTGGGGCGAGTGTGTCGTGATCACAATAGTACGGCTAGTGTGTTCAACGATTAATTTTTCATTTTATGCTCCACTGTCCACAAGACATATGTCAAACTGATGAGTCCCCCAGTTGAGACGTCCATTTTCCCACTGCTTCAGTACGCCTGAGTCCTCCGTTTTCTCTCATGTACCTCAGAGACTCTGATATTTCTTAATACCTCATATGGTGTTCAGGAACTGACTTCTGACCTCATTCTCAGGCAGACTCCTCTCTGTATAATGGGTATGTCCAGTACTTCGTGTCACACCAAGTCATATTAAGTGAATTTGACTTAGTTGTGCTTTGTTTGAATATGCAAGTGACCCAGTAACGTAATTTTGATGTCTTTAGTAAAGTGTTTATGCGCCACCAGCTTACAAGACTTATTTTATGACATTCCTGTCAACCCTTTGCTCTGACTCTCAGGCCAACTCCTCTCTGTATTACAGGTGCCTGAATAGACCACTGGTGGTCGCTGTATGCTAGGACGACGTCCAACACCAACATGGAGATGGATGAAGGCCATTAAGATCGGATAGAGTCGTGTAACATGGTGGTGTGATGAGCTGAGATCTTACGTACTGCCAGCCGCTCAGTGGAGGTGGCCAGAATGTGTTTGCTGTTCACCTGTTGATCTCACATGTGGAGTTAACACGACCAGCTGATAAGCATTGTATGAGTCTACAACGATAAGTAGAGTTACTTAATGGGTGTGTTTTTCATCCGAGTATCCATGTATGTAATCATCTCAGTTGTATGGATGTATGGAGTGAACAAGTGTATGAAGGTCACCACTTTACTTCTCGGCAAAAATAAAAAATTAGCACAGGGAGGCTATTAGTCCCGGTGCAATTACTACGAGTCCTGTTATTAAGATATAAATTCTCAGGTAACCTGTAAGGGTGGTGCTCAAGTGGTATTCAGGGGGTCCCAGGGTTACGAACGGGTTATGTTCCTGAGGATATTCTTATAGTCGGATTTGTACGTAAGTCAGAACACATGCTATGTGCACACTGTACTGACAGAACAATGTTTAAAATCCCACTATATCATAGCCTAAGTCCTTATATACAGTAAGATCTTGTATTTCACGAGTAATATAGACTGGAAAAATTGCGCCCAATTCAAATTCGCCAAATGCAAATACATAAACTAATGGGAAAAATAATAATATAGACTGGCCACTCTACATCAACCTCAGATTTTTCCATTTATAACCTCCAAATGATACAAATTCTGCCTTTATTGACCTGATTGTGCTTTCCGGAAACTGGTTTTTAGGACTTCCTCAAGTAACTTAATCACACGCTGCTTATCCTGCATCGAGTACTTGGCAAACTTAACTCCCTTATGATAGTCCCGCTTCTCCTTTTCCTTATTTGGCCACTTGGGTGGGTCTGTCCCACCCTCACCGGTGGGGGCCCCCAGTAGAGGCAGAGGCCATTATCTTGACTCGACAGGTGGTAGCACCACCCAAAAAAGCACACAATAGCAGACCGGGCGGTCGCTAGGATGGTGATGGATACAAAGCAATAGTTGCGTTCTTGTAAACCTCTTTTACGTTCACCACCGGCAATTTGATCACCAGAACGCTTCTTGGAAACATTATTCTTACCTTGTCTTTCCATATTCATCGCTAACACAACAAAATTGGAGAAAACAGCGAAAATCAAGGAGTAATCGACAGAAACCGCGCGATTCAACTGATCACGTGATGTAAACAGAGAGCGCTGGTGTAAACCGTTATTAGTCCTCACTGCGAAATATTCTTTTTACTTATTCTTTTCATACAGTATTTATGGGTAACAGCTAAATTAGCAAAAAAAGAACGAAAATTACTGAATAACTCTAAAAAAAAAACACTTCACAAACAAAAGACACGAATCAATTGAACATGTAATGTCGAACGTGAAATGTAAACATTGCATAACCCTGCACCACACTTAAAACGTTGAGGATGGAAAAAACATTGAGGATGGAATCGCACTATAGCCAGCATGCAAAAGTTCGAGTTTTACAAACAGCGTTCCCCTATTCATCAATCGCATTACAACAAATTCGCGTTGACAAAAAATGCGTTGTAGCAGAAATGACTATAACTAGTATGAGGGCTATGACGTCATTCAAGATGGTGGCCAGCATTCAGCTTGCTGGATGAGGCGAAACTCACGATATTTTACGCCAAATATAAGACTTGGTTACATTAGGTAGCGCTCGCGAAATTAAAAAACGCGAAATGAAATCGCGCAAAATACGAGATCTTACTGTACATCTAAAGTCATTTAATTAAGAGAAAATAAGAAATAAAATGATAAAATACAGTACAGTAAGTCCTCGCTTAACGTCGAGGTTCCGTTCCTGAAAACAGCGACGTTAACGGAATAAATTTTCCCCATAAGAAATAGATAAATATGCTAGTTACGTTCCCCAGCCTCCCTTTGCCCAATAAAATACATTACTGTATACTGTACATACAGGAATTCAATGGCATTTTTGTAGAAAATGGTATATATATATACAGTGGGGTATGCTATAACGAATCTAATTG